ATTTATTATTGATGTGGAAGAAACAAAGCGACTTCTATTGGAACAAGAAGATACCGATGGTGATTGTCAAATAACCATACATGATTCTGGTCCAAAAACTATATCCCTTGGTACTGCAGACTCTGATGGGCATCGAAAATTTGAAATTCGTGGCACTTATCAATTAAGTAACCTTTTGCAAGAATTGGCTCTTGCTGCTAGTCATGGTAGAAAACATGTAGTCTTGGATGAAGCTAGATTAAATGAGAATCCTGTTGATCGTTTATCTCGTATGATAAGAAATCTTTTTTGGGATGGTTTAACTAGAAGAATTGATGCTGAAGGATTAGAAGCTATCTGTGCTGATCCAAAAAATAGAACTGCTGATCATTCCCCTAGAATATATATTCCATATGGTGAAGATGAAGTTTTTGCTTATTATAAGTGGGTCTCGGAAACTCGTCCTCATTTAAAATTGGAAGTGGAAATGCTTCCCAAAGATATAACTCCGGAATATGTAAAAAGTATAAATGATCGACCTGGTATTTTATCTTTGGCAATGCGTAAACAAATTGATGATCAAGGAAATGTTACCTTTAAAGGTGTTCCATTTATTGTACCAGGTGGTAGATTTAATGAGATGTATGGTTGGGATTCTTATTTTGAAATCTTGGGTCTAGCTGTTGATACAAGAATAGATATGGCAAAAGGCATGGTTGATAACTTTGTTTATGAAATCACTCATTACGGGAAAATCTTGAATGCCAATAGAAGTTATTACCTAACTCGTTCTCAACCTCCTTTCCTTACCGATATGGCCATGAAAGTTTATGAAAGATTAACTGAGGATGATCAATCAAAGAAAGATTGGCTTAAAACTGCTATTCGTGCTGCTATAAAAGAATATCATACAGTTTGGATGAGTGAACCACGTTATGATCCTGGTACTGGACTTTCTAGATTTCATCCTACCGGCCTTGGCATACCACCAGAAACTGAAGCAAGTCATTTTGATCATGTAATTCTGCCATATGCTAAACGTCTTGGTTTAACAATTAAAGAATATGCTGCAAAATATCAAGCCCTTGAAATTCAAGAACCTGAATTGGACTCTTATTTTTTACATGACCGAGCAGTTCGTGAATCTGGTCATGATACAACATATCGTTTTGATAAACGATGTGCTAACCTTGTTACTATTGATCTTAATAGTTTATTATATAAATACGAGGTAGATATTGGTGAAATAATTCTTAGAATTTATAATAATCAGTTTGACCTAGAAGATGGAACCATTGAAACTAGTGAACCTTGGTTTGAAAGGGCATTAGTTCGTAAAGAAAGAATTAATAAATATCTTTGGAATGAAGAGAATTCCCTATATTATGATTATGATATTTCGCAGCAAAAGCAATCAATATATGAATCTGTCACAGCTTTTTGGGCACTTTGGGCTGGTTGTGCTAGTCCAGAGCAGGCAGAAAAATTAGTGTAAATATTATTTATTATTCATCTATACATGATTTTATTTTTTATTTTATATATTCATTTACTTATTCATTTATTTATTCATTTATTTACAGCAAAGTATCTCTTCCTAAATTTGAGGTTCTTGGTGGTCTTGTTAGTGGTACGGAAGAATCTCGTGGCCCAATTACACTAGATCGACCAAACCGACAATGGGATTATCCTTTCGGGTGGGCACCACATCAAATAATGACATGGCGTGGTTTAGAAAATTATGGTTATATGACAGATGCTCGACGATTGGCGTATCGTTGGCTGTTTACCATCACAAAATCATTCGTAGATTTTAACGGTGTTGTTCCAGAGAAATATGATGTTGTTACATTAAGTCACCTTCTTAAAGTGGAATACGGAAATGTAGGTGTGGACTTCAAATTTGTACCACGAGAAGGTTTTGGTTGGATGAATGCTTCATATCAAGTCGGTTTATCCTACTTAACAAGTCATATGAGAAGAGCTTTAGGTGCATGCACGAGACCTGAAGTTTTCTTTAAGCATAAAGTTACAAAAGATGCCGCAGTACCTTTAGAAAATACTTCGGTATCGGATCATCAACGACTAAAAGCTCTTGTTCTTGAAATTGATCAAAATTTAGCATCATCATCATCGGTTTCTGATTCAAACACCGTTGATGCAACAGTCATTAAAGATGATACACTGCCAGTAAAAGTAAAGCCAATTATCTTTAAAGTTGGGTCATAAATTCGATTTTATTAGAATAATCATAGACTTTCAAATCAGTATATATTCGTATTTTACCTCCCTCTCAAAAAAAAGTATTAAAAATATAATAGACGATATTTTCATTTTTTTTTTTTATTCTTTCGTTTTAAATTCAATTGGGTATCTTTGAAACTTGCTTTTTTCGCTTTTTTTAAAATCTGCATGTGATGTTTGAAAATTTTTCTTTTTTCTCTTCATTTATTTTATTTTATTGAAATTATTATTTAGTCAATGGGATGTGTAATACAATATTTGCTTAGTTGTTTTGTACTTTCAATTATTTTACTATTTGCAATATCTATGGTTTTTTTTTTATTGGGATTATTTTACGTTGTAAATAATTTATTTCCATTTTATGCATGGATGAAACTGATCTATCATATATGTGTTATATTTTCATCACATGAAATATATTCCTCTCCTCAAGCAAGAAATACCTTAAATTTTTTTTTTTTTGCTTTACGTTATCATATTTAAAAAAACATTTTTTTTTTTGCTTTACGTTATCTTTTATTTTCTTCACATACGCAAAACGAACAATTATAGTAATCATCTTCAAATCTTAAGTTTTTTTCTTTTCTATTCCCGCTTTATAAATCCTCATAACAGTGTATAAACAAATCTATATTATATATATACATATATTTTTTCTAAAACCGAGCTGTAAATCACATAGAAATAAATCGAGCAACATAATAATTACTTTCACTTCGTAAATAAGAGACTATATCCATAATAATAATAATATCAATGTGTACTACTCCGATCTCCGAACCTCTAGAGAATTCTGAGATTCGGACTTTCAAGTTCTTCCAAGTTTATTGTTTATTATTTACTGGACTTAGCCCTTTAAAGGTCACTAATTTGATACATGTCGCAGATTAAAGGGCTGAGTCTAAATAAATAATAAACTTGAAAGCCCAAAGTACCGTACTCATTTAGATCCAATCACTATGATGTGAAAGTTCTCTTTGATTCGCACATTACTTTGCATTCTCAGAAACTCCGCTATCAGTCTAAAATACTGGAGGTTACAAATAATGTAGATTAATTTTTTTTAAGATACCGTACATAATGCGATCTTTTATTTTTCACGATGTAAAAAATCGCACCGCACCAGGTCGTACTTGACCGGTGCATGGGTAAATAGATCTTGATGGGCTAGCCATTGATAAGATTATCCATAATTAACAGCTTCTAACCATTCCTATCGCTATGAAAAAAAATTTCCAAATAAATACATTGATAAAAAATGACTTGATGCTGACAAAAAGGGCTTTTTTGAATGAAATCATCCGCACCTGGGCAAAATAAAAACAGTGCTGTAATTGTAAAAGCCACGTATGAAATGTAACCCAGATTTGATTTTTTTTATAAATATCAATATGTCAAAATAACAATATGTGCAACTTACCATTTAAATTTTTATTAAATATTTGATACTATTAATAAATAAATTGCTAAAAAAAAAAATTTTATTTTACTCGGGTTAAAAGCAGGGCCGATGATTTCTGCGGCGATTATTAAATTCATGATAAGTATAATTCTGCGTTGAAGATATAGATCCTTCAATTATTCTGCAAACTTGATATATAACCTTCGAATTATTTCGTGATGTCATCAAAAAGTTTAGCGTGAATACACTCGCTCGTATTTTATGTTCGTTTACTATTTACGTCGGAAATTTTTCAGAACTTTTTGTTATATAAAACACTATTTGACACATTTTTGCACAATAATTTGAGCCCTGATTTTAGTGAAACGCAGAAAATCATCGGTTCTGGTTAAAAGTTGCTTGGTAAGCTATATTTTGGTTCACATGACTAAAAAGTTTAATAATATTAGTCATAGTTTGTAACTCGGGATTAGTAATAGTTTGTAACTCGGGTTAAGAATTTCCTAAAAAGCATTGCTTATTTATTTCTTCATAGTGCCGATGCTACGTACCAATGTTTTCCGACTATGATGTCAATAGAAAATACCACGCATTAGTATAGAGAAAAACATAACATGACACAAAGGAGAAAGAAAGATATGAAACTTAATGACGATGATAATAAATAGTAAGCAAATCAATATTATGTAATCATGTATAACTGTAGATTAATACGTATAATTGTTCGCTTGTTTCGACAATTAATCTGTGGGTTTATAGGTTTGTGCGTGCGTGCGTGCGTACGTACGTACGTAAAAGACTTTCATATACTATTATTGGCTATCACATGTCCTTATGTTGATACATATGATTTAAGTGCTGCAGAGCAAAACCTGTAACTGACCATAGTAAATCATTATGATCAATTACAGGTTTTCGCTCTGCATCTTTTTAAAATATCCTATTTATCGGGATAGTAATACGAATTGCAAATTGATTTCGATTAATCGAAAAATTGGGAAAAAACTACGTATAATTCGTTAATAATTTTATGCTATATACTAAAAAAATCATTTGTTAATATTAGGACATAAAAATGAAATTGTTCAAAAAGCTGGTCCAATTAATCATTTTTTACAATATCATACGTATCTGATTTTATATTCTAATTGGTACACATCATATTGCAATTAGTGTCGGGCAATTAAAATTTAACTTTTATTAAACTTACAAACTTAGAATATTGAACTTACGTATAAATTCTAATTAAAATATAGGTGAATTTACAAATAAGGGCCCAAAAAACGAAAATAATTACAAATAAGGGCCCAAAATGAAAATAATTACAAATAGAGGCCACAGATAAGGGCCCAAAATAATTATGCACTTTTAAGAACCTATGATTTAGGCCCGTTTCGAT